GGTTTAAATGCCCAAAAACATATTTAAAAATATTTGTCTCCGCTGTTGACTGATCTGCATGTACCCATTCCACCACATTTCCTGGATTAAAATGCTTGAGTGCATTCATATATATAGGAAGCTATGCAAGTGACTCATTAAAGTCACCGTATATTATCTCGAATGCACGATTATGATCGAGCCAAGCTTTTTTGTATGACGGAGTGTGTGAAACTGCAACCTTGACTGTAGTTTGCACCTCTTTAAGCTTGAACTAAGGATTGTTCCTAACATAAGGTAACAACAAAGAAGCAATAATGTTAATATCCAAGTTATAATGATCCTCTGGGATTACACCCATCAGACAGGTGTGCTTGCCATAGTATTTTCCAATTGTCCATAAATTGGTTTGAGTTTTCCTTCCTCTGAGCATCCACTTGCATCCGAATTCCCACCTCCTGCAATGAATAGTCCAATAATTCTTTTTTGCTTCTCATACCTTAAACATCCTATTTGCCTGCAAACTCCATAATTTCACATCTGTTTTCAGTCTCTCTTTGGTGGGGAGCAACATTCTAGACTCAAGAGCAGTTGCATTATCATCCATCCAAATTTTGCAACGAACACCCTCTGAATCACGAGTAGATGCAAACACCTCTGGACGCCCCTGAGTATCATATAAAAATGGAACGTTCTCCCTATGAAATGGTTGTGTCTGTTGTACATCATCGACTTACGGTTGGCTATCATCGTCAATATCTTGATCAAAACCATATTCGTCAACCTTATCTGACTCATATGCGTCGTTCTAGGCATCACTGTTAGAGTCATCACCCCCTTCGTCGACATGAGCATTGGCTTCAACACAAGCCAGTATATCTGAAAATATTGAAATATGTTAGATTTTATTATTCTCAAATGTGTTGGTTACATTAATGGTTCCCGCACCATCTCTAAAACTATGATAATGATAATTTTTAATGGAAAACAATGTGCCAAAACTAGTACAACCATGACCGTAGCTACTAGGTGTTCGTTCAATTTCTGGTGCTGTACTTTATGATAGCAACCTTGTAAAATTATGAAATTTTGAATAACTACCTAGTGGATCAGTACATGGTACATAAGCTTCGGATGAAGGCTCATTAAGATTAAAAGATGGCACATTAGAAAGCAGAGATGACTCGTGAAAAATATTTGTGGACTCAACAACATCCAATAATTTAGTTTTAATAAACATCTCAAGCACATCAAAATTCATCATATGCTTTAATCTGTCAGGTGCCCTCAAAAAATCTTGTAATGACTCATTATCAACAATATGAATTTCTTTATATCGATTAATACCTTGTGTGGTCTGACATGGCCACCTACCGGAGAAACAAGCGTTACCTCGTTAGGGTTGGTTTTCATCCTAATATGCAAGTTCCTAACTAGCCACTCATACTCAACATTTAGCGAAAGTTTTACAATGGCACGAGTACCATAATTATATCTAACTGTGTCGGTTTCATAAATTATCTCACCGCCCTAGTACACCGCAATCCTTACACGCTGATCAATTGACATTTTAAAACCTACATAAAGTAGCAATTATAATTAATAAATAATACTAATATTTGGCAATTAGATTACAAATTACGAAATAATACTAATCTTTTAACAATCTCCGGTGCATTCAAACACATTATATACATCTTAAAATAACATCGGTTATATACAAAATCCAAATGCATGTATTTCTTTTTTCCTAACAAAAGGCGCATTCAATACGCAAACCTTCCACTTTTCATAGAAGGCGCAACTTGACAGTGAGTCTTCCGTAAAGTTGTAATGTTAGACATTTGTCATATCAATGTGAGACGGTTGAATGTAATTTCAACTGACGGTGCATCACCCCATTGAGCCTTCTGAGTAAATAAAAAATATAAGGAAGGCGCGTCCATTAATAACATCTTCATTTTAAAATTTACACTGAAGGTGCAATTACTCAGCGCGCCATCTTCTCAAATTACACTTAACGGTACGTCAGTTTTGGGGGCATTAATATTACAAGAAGATGGCTTACTAGTGTGACGCACCTGCACTATTAATGAAAAAAAAATCTGACAAACCTATTAATTGAAGTGGCGCTCCATTCCTCAACATTTTAGTCCAGCATTCTACACCAACTTACCTGCAAGGATACAACACATGGCACCACTAACCCGCCCTCAGGGCTCCCGTGCATTCAACATCGGTATTGAGCACAATAGCCCATAAAATTATAACCTTTTTAGGGTGTGTTTGGTATAACGAAAAATATTTTTCGTGGAAAATATTTTCCAAGAAAATGTTTTCATGAAAAACAAGTTGTAATCTTATTCATTTTTCGGTGTTTGGTACGCAAATTAAGGAAAATAACTTCTCAAGAGTATTCATAAATAATTTTGATACAATAAACATGAAGTCATAAACTTTGGAACCAACAACCTTCCGAACCCACAAATTTCATAAATTTTCGAACCGATAAACTTTCAAAACCATAAATTTTATAATTTCTAAACTCATAAACTTCTAAACACATAAACTTCTGAACTCATAACTTAAAACAGAAATTTAAAATTACAAAAAAAGGAAAAAAAAACCTTTTTTTTGTGCGAGGTGNAAAATTTGAAGAAAAAAAAAAGAAGTTTTTTTTGAGAAAGGGGTTGGGTGGGTGAGTGTGGGGGTGTGGAGTGGGTTGGTGAGCGTGGGGAAGGTTGAAAAAGAGTTTTTGAAAATGTTTTCTCTTCTCTTGATAAGGAAAATATTTTTCTCTAATCCGAGGAAAATGAATTCGTCATGAAAATATTTTGCAAAATATTTAAGCCAACAAAACATAAGAAAATTGAAAAATATTTTCCTTCAATACCAAACGCACCCTTAATATGCTTCAGTTTAGATTTGAGTTATGCGCATATTTTAGAGTCTGTTTTGTACATAATCCAAGTTGGAGTAATTTGGTTTGAGAATCAAACAAATTACACAATTAATAACAAACAAATAATTAAAACGTGTTTTGAGTTAGCTGTAGGTTATAGTAATCCATTATTTAGTCTAAGTTGACGCAACCTAATATAAATTCAAGCAAGCTTTGAACGGGTTATGATTAGGTTGTACTCGTTACTTTAACATGTCTTGATTCAACTCATCCAATTTATTTGACACCTTTTTATTATGGGCTGATATCAGTAGTGAATCTAAGTGTTTTGACATGGCTCAATTGAATCCCATTTATCGAAAAATTAGGATAAGATTGTTGGTCCAATTAAGTTTTATTTCAGAACAATTAACAGGGCATAGTTGTCAGCAGTATTCTTAAAACATAGTATCTATTTAAGTTTTCATAATTAACTTTCAAGCCCTTGACAAGCAGTCAAAGATCTAACCATAGAGCCGTCAAAATAGGCTTGGCCCGTGAGGCCAGTCCAACCCAGCCGCTATTTGGGTAGGGCTGCTGGGTTTGAATTTTTTTAGTCCATTTAAAAGTGAGGCTTATAAGCCAGGTCCAAGTCAGCCGCTGGCCCTTGAGACTTGATCGAGGCTGGGCCTGGGTCGGCCCATGGGCCAAAAATTAATTAAATTCAAATTTAAATATTTAAAAAAATAAAAACTAAAAAAATGTTAACTATAATCCCCATTTTCCAAACTTAGATTGCTAATTTATCATTTCATATCAACTAGAATTTATATTTTTGATATGCATGTAGTATGACACGATTATTTTTTCTTTTGCTTAATTAACAACGAACTATGAAAGTTTTAAGTGGCCAATAATAAATTTTTTTAAAAGAAAATATTACTTTAAGTGGCCAATGATCAGTTTGGTTACTTTAATATATTATTAATTATTAAATTGCTCTTCAGTATAGTAAAATGTCAAGTTTTAATACGCAAAGAAAATTGACAACACTAGCAAATTTCATGAATTTTAAAATTTTACGGACTATAATGATGAAATTAACAAATAATGTTAAACCTTAACATATAAACTCATTGAAGCAATTCATGAACCTAAGGAAAGTGAAAGAAAAGTACAAAAAAAATATTCATGTATCGTTAAAAAAATAAGAGTTAGAGATAACGAGAATTTGCATTTCAATTACGAGATTCCTTGTCAAATATCAAGATTCTTGTACATTCTAAATAAACAGAAGTCGTTCATATAATTAAAAGATTATGTCACGATAAAATATTTAAAGATTTGAAGAAATATTTTTTTCTAAAAAAATTGAAGAGTTGGCCCGCCCTAGCCCGCGGCCCTCTTAGGGCTTGGCTGGCTTGGCCATTTTAAGGCTCATATAGATGGAGGGCCGGCCCGCCCTAGCCCACCAAATCTAAAAGCTCACGAGGCTTGAGCTGGGCTAGCCCGTTTTGACAGCTCTATCTAACTAGCTCCAAAAGAAGGAAAAAGGAAATACGTACGAAATATATATAAATTAAATTATACTAGTAAATTCCTAAGCTTAACACTATGATTGAGCCCGTTTGGACATAAGAAATTTTTTCCCTTTTTTCGAAAAATCTTTACTTTTTTCGAAATCAGCGTTTGTTAAAAAAAAATTCAATTTTCACTTGAAGATGCATTTTGAAATTTTTCGAAAATTTGAAAAACTTCCAAAAGCTGTTTTTTAAAATTTTCACTCGGATCACTCACAAAACTTCAAAAACAATCCAAAATTATATTTATGTCCAAACAGAACTCTAATTTTCAAATACCATTTTCAGTTTGGATTTTTTTTTCATTTTTGTTTTTGGAAATTTTGCAATTCTTAAGTCCAAACGCCCACTAAATTTAATTGGCCCGTCTCTCTCGGAAAGAGGAGGTCGATACGTATGGAAAAAGGAATGGCAAAACGGTAAAATAGAAGTTCGGTAAGGGCAGGTGAAGAAAAGAAAGCTTGGGCCACACTCCAAACTCCCAAAAGCATTCCGTTTCAAATTAATTTATCAGTCCAAAACCATAATCAAATAAAGTTATTCTGTTAATGAAATTACAATTAAATAAAAGGGGACGAAAAATCATTTTCCGCAGTTTTACAATTCAATCTTCCTCTTTCTCTTTCTTCTCTCTTTTTAGGCCTCTCTCTCTCTAATCTTTCTCAATTTCTTCCTCTTTTCTTCACCTCTCGACTTCTCGATTTATCGCTTCGATTAAGGTATACTTTTTTTGCTTTTTGATTATTTTTGGTTTTTCTTTCTCCCATAATAATTGATTTTAATTTTATGTTCTTCTCTTGTTATTTCTATAATAATAATAATAATAATAATAATTGTTTTTTAATCGGGTGATTCTAGGCCTTTTTTTTCCTGGGCTTCGAATTTGAAACTGAAGATCGGGTTAAGTTTTCGACTTTTATTGATTTTTTGTTGGCTTTTCTTCAATTTTCCCTTTTTTGTTTAAAATTAAGCATGTGTTCTAGCGTTTATGCGTTAAAAGAGGTTTTTTTTTTTTTTTTTTTTTTT